TCACTACTGGTATGTCAGACTCCGGAGGGGCGGATCCTGCCCAAGGGTTAATCAAAAGCCAATATGGCCTATTGCAGTGTACAACTCGATCCGAATAACAATAAAGCCAATATGGCCTGTTGCAGTGTACAACTCGATCCGAATAACAATAAAGCCAATATGGCATGTTGCATACGACTCTCAGGCCCACCTCAGTCATCAACCTCTCAAGGGTTCTCAATCTCATATCACTCAACTAACAGTACCACATATTAAAAAAAATAACGTGCAATGTAATAATGAATGATGAACAAAGATTGAGATATGATATGTAAATGACGAATCATGACTGAGTGTATAATTATAGTTATGTCTGATAGCCCAAAACAACAAATTTAGTCTCATTAGGTCTCAACTAAATAATCACATAGCCTAAACATGATTTCCAACCTAAATCATAGCTCAGATAACCAAACAAGTAGGGAGAACAAGGATATAACAACAAAACAAGTATGGTAAGAGTCTAAAAGTCAACTCGGATCATGATTACCCCGGTGCACGCCTACACGCCTGTCACCTACCATGTGTGTCACCCCAACACATCACAAATAACATAGTTCACAGGGATAATTACCCTCAAATCAAAGTTTAGAAATGTTACTTACCTCAAAATACGCAAATCAATACACCAAAAAGTCCTTGACCCGTGAATCGACTTCCGATAGACTTGAATCTAGTCAAAGTAACTTAATACCATCAATAATAGCCATAGAAAACAATCCCAATAGATAAAGCTAAAGTCTTGAATCAAATATGGAAAGTCAATCCAAAAAGACAACCCTAGGCCCACACCCCAGAACCCGACAAAAATTATAAATTCGAAACACACATTCAATTACGTGTCCAACCATACTATTTTCATCCTATTCCATCAACAAATCGACCCCCAAATCACCAAATCTCACTCTCCAACAACATAGTGTAAAATCCCTAAATTTCACATCAAATTCTCATAAACTAGGTGTAATAATCAATGGGTAATCAATGTCTAATATCAAAAGTGATTAAACTTCACTCACCTCTTCAATTGCAGTAAAATGTCTCTCAAAAATCTCCCTTAGTCGAGCTCCACAAATCCAAAATGAAAGAAATAACCAAACCCTCGTTTATATGCTCTGCCCAACGATTCTCACACCTACGGCTCAATCTGTCACACCCGTGAAGCCGCTTTTGCGGTCAAAATTTTGCTTATGCGGAAACCACTTTAGTACCGGGCACCTGCGGTACCATTTCCGTACCTGTGGCACGGCTTCTGCGATCGATCCTCCGCATTTGCAGATTCCCAGCTTCAGTCCAAATTCCACTTATGCGGTCTAACTTTTGCATCTACGGGTTCGCAGATGTAGCAACCACCTCGCATCTGCGATCTTCCCCAAGTCCAGCCTAGCCTCGATTCGGCGACCGTCTTTCGCTTTAGCAGACTCGTATCTACAGATACCCGCTTTCACTTGCGGACTCAGCCTAGCACATCCTGATCCGCACCTATGCTCCACATGCCGCTTCTGTAGCGTCGCACCTGCGGCAAATCCTTCGCAGGTGCGATTGCACCAAAACTCCCAAGCTTCAGCTATCCTTCAAAGTCCAAAAGTGATCCGCCAATCACCCGAATCACACCCGAGGGCCCCGGGACCCATCCAAACATATCAACAAGTCCTAAAATACAATACGAACTTACTCGAAGCCCCAAATCACATCAAATAACAATAACAACAACAACAACAATAACAACAACAGCAATAATCCAGTGTAATCCCACAAATGGGATACATTAAACAACATCAAAACTACGAATTGCACCCTAATTCAAGCCTAATGAAACTAATGAACTTCTAACTTCTAAAACTCATGCCGAACCATACCAATTCAACTCCAAATGATCTTAAATTTTGTACACTAGTCCCAAATGATACAACAAACCTATTACAAGTCTTGGAGCCAAAAATCCGAACCTGATATTAATAAAGTCAACTCTCGGTCAAACCTCTCAACTTTTCAATCCTTCAACTTTCCAACGTTTGCCAAAAAATATCAAATCAACATACAGACACCAAATCAACATTCGTACATACTAATAAGTCCTAAATCACCATACGAAGCTATTGAAATTATCAAAATAGCATTCCGAAGATGTCTGTACAAAAGTCAAATTTCGATCAACTCTTTGAACTTAAGTGTCCCAATTCACTCCAAAACTCCCCCGAAATCAATCCAACCATAACGACAAGTCACATAACAACAAATAAACATAGAAGAGGCAATAAATAAGGGAACATGGTTACAATACGCAAAATAACCAAGCGGGACATTATAGATAAACATGTTCGGCTCATTAAATGTAAGGAGATGTACGTCCTTTCAAGTGTCAGAAACCGTTTAGGAGCTTTTTCATCAAGAAAATGAATCTTATCTACTTTCTGGTATCATCTAGTTTAGTCATCAGAAAGTAGGGGTACTATCTATATGGGGTAAAAATTAATGAGTGGTAGGCAGACGCTCATCAAGCTGACACGTAGCAGTAAAGACATGTATGGTATGAGTCGGCAAATAGCTGGCACCTTACGAGAATGTGATCAATATTGTGTGAGTTTCGAAGACATTTGAACTGGAGATGAAAGTTTGAAAGTGAGATATCAGTTGAAGAAGGCATCATTCAAGGAGCGGCCGTTATAAAGAGAGGTTCATATTAAACAATAGCTTGATTTGGGGATCTTGTCTCTCTGAATTTAGCTATAAATAGAGGCGTTTATACTCATTGTAGGCAAGAAGTGTATGAAAAAAAGGTTAAACTTACTCTAGATTTTTATTAACATCCTCTTTGCTCAATACTTTGTTCTTGTTCTTGCTTCCAGAGAAGCGCACTTCACAGACATGCTTGTATTTCTTTCAAGTATTCTTAATTAATTTACATCTGATCTTTGTTACTTTATGTTCTTGGATCAATTTAATCCACGTGTCTATAAACTACGTTAAAAATTCAACTGTACTATTTTATGGGTAAACATCAAGCTCTGTACCAATCAAGATTTAAAACAGATCACTGATCAAGCTGTATATATAGTAGAAGACTAAAAAGAAGAACTTATACTTTTGTCTAACAAACTTCAAGCTATGTGTTCTACTGTTAGTAAACATTGTAACTCAATCTGACTTATTGTGTAATAGAAAGAGAGAGAGAAAATCATTGGCGAGGCATTGCATCAAAAGATTTGAGAGTCTAAGTTGCATAAGAAATTAGTTGATGAGTGAGTAGGGAATTCATTAACAAAGCATTCTCAGAACATCAAAGAGCTTTGAAGAGAGAACCCTCTTACAGCCAAGGGGATTGGATTAAGATTCACATTGAATACGAACCAATATAAAAATATCACTGCATTATTTACTTTTCTTCCACTTTTATTCTTTAATTATAATTCACCTATTCACTTAAATTGAAGTCAAGTAACTAGTAAACTAGTCGACTAAAGTTTCATAAAGTGGGACTCAAATATTCAAATCGAAAGGTTAGATTCTTATGTTAGATATAACTTATAGTTATTATAACTAAATTTTTTATAGCATTTATCAGCACTGAAATGCCTTATGATCTATGTTGTTTGTACTTTACTAATAATATAATTATTGGTGACTAATGTTTTTCTTTTCTTTGCTTTTTTGTTGCGGTCAAGTGAAGAACTCTCCCATTAGAAAGGTTTGGGTAAAAATTGCATGGGGCACCCTATTTGGTCGCTCATTTTTAACTTGTACCCATTTTATTTTTTCGTTTGCATCCTTATCCGTTTTTTGTTAAAAGTATTTTAAAAAAATAATTTTTCCCTTCTTTAATAAAAGACTACTTTCACTCCAAGTATACGACATATTGTCTCTTGTCCCTATCTCTCTATCCTTCTTTGCGGTTTTTGATTATTTTCTTAAATCAAACGATTTTTTCCATTGCATTATGCTTGATTAGCAACTGTTTTTTCTCCAACAAAGTTAAGTATAATTACATGTACAATTTTAATGATTGCTTTTGTACATTGCATTAACTTTGTATCGGGTTTTAATTTAGGATTAGTTTTATGATTTAATTTATGGGTTTTTTGTTGATAGTAATCTTAGTTGAATCATTTTTCTTTTTTTATTTGTGCTAAAATAGTTTTCTAGGTTTTACTTTGATTACTGCATTAGTTTTGTAGGGTTTACTTTTACGATTAGTGTTTTTAGGTTTTTTGAAACTGTGTTTGTATTTTTGATGAAAAATCTATATATTCTTCAGTGATTGTTGGAGACGTTGAAATTTTTAAATATTTTGAGACTCAAATAGATGATGCTATTAAAGTGTGAAGTTTATAATACTTCAAGGATATCTTAATTCTAGGAGCTGAAATTTTGTTTTGTGTCTTATAAATGTAAAGTATGTTTTGTCTGCAGTTTTTGTTTTATTTTTGATAAACTTCAGCATTATTGGAGTTGAAGTTGTATTCTGTATTTGTAAAATAACATCATATTTTAGCTGAAATTTTTGTTCTGTAATTGCTGAACTTCAGTATTCTTAGAGCTGAAGTTTTATTCTGTATTTTCTGAACTTAAACATTTTTAGAGCTGAAGTTTTGTTTTGTATTTCTCTGAAGTTAGAGGGCTTTAAAATATAAATTAAAGCCAAATTGTGCTGAAATTTTAAATGATTTTTTTGATAATGTTTTGAAGTTATTTTTCCTACCTTTAATCTTTTCGAACAGATGACATCTACGAAATCCAAATCACCTACAAATCCTAAATCACCTAAAGAACCTATAATACGCAAAGATCCTTTAGTCCCTATTGTTTTACCTACAAAATTAGGGGAGAGATATTATGAGTTTCGAGATTGGTTTAACTGTCGTGCTTACTAGAAGGGGAACCACGATTTGAAGGGTTTAATTGCAACTTTCTTGACTCCTTCGCAACAGGATAAGCTGAATAATGGTACATTTCGGTATATCATGGTTATGGAGAATTTCCATTGCAGCATGAAGTTGGTTTATTGTTTGATTCTTTATCGCGTATTCACCAATGATCGAGATTCTATTAGTTTCAAGATTTTTGATTGTGATGTGTCGTTCAGCCTTGAAGACTTTCACATTATGTGCGGTTTGAAGATCACATCACATAATGTTGAAATCCCAATTAAACGAGAGAGTAAGATTCTGAAGCACTATTTTGGGAAGTCTAAGGGCGTGACCTTGAAGGACATTCGAGATTATATGATACAGAATCAAATTAAAAAAGATAATGTGAATTTCAAACACATATGTGAGAGTGATGAAGATGCTGTGAAACTTATGCAAATTCTTATTGTGGAGTATATTTTGTTCGGAAGAAAGAATGAATCAATTGTGTTGGAAGAATATGCAGCTATTGTTGAAGACGATGAATCTTGTCTTAATTATCCTTGGGGTAATGCATCTTATGAGAAGCTTATTACCTCAATGAAACATGCTTTGGATAACAAGGACAAAAATAATACAACTGAGTATACTGTAAGCAAATTTTCATATCCATTATGTGTTTGGTTCTATGAGCGCTTCCCAGATATTTGAGATAAGTATTTAAAAGATGATGACTACCTTTATGTCCCTCAAGTTCCGAGGATGTTACGTTATATATCTTTGGGAGAGCCTAAATTTAAAGAACTTCATGCGGATTACTTCAGTAATCATGGTGTAAGTTAACATTTTTTTTTTCTATAGTTTTGTTATTATGTTGACGTATTAGTTTTATTTTATTTTTCATAATATATATTTTTGTATTAAACAGAAATATCAGATATTTAGGGTATTGGAGATAATTCCTACCGAATAGGAATTGAATTCAATGCCTTTAATTGGACAATTACATATGCAACAACAGTCATTTGAAGGTACTGAATCCAGTTCCTTCAACTGGTAAATCACCACGTAGTCGTAGTCGATCAAAACAAACCAATCGAACTCCTATAATTGGAGAATCAACTGGTACCCAGAGTCGTTCTAAATATTCTACAATGGCGTTTGATGATGAATTAATTAACACAATATGTCGTGCAAGTTTTTCTTTGTTTGTTTTTAATCTAAAGTTTTTCATACTTTTCTTTGCTTAATTATAGGATGTTTTATGTGATATTTTTGTCCTGTATTTTGCTGAACTTCAGCATTATTTTTTGATCTGGTAAAACTATAGCATGTTTTGTCTGCAGTTTTTATTCTGTTTGTGATGAACTTTAGCATTATAGGATCTGAAGTTTTATTTTATGTTTTGTAAAAGTAAAGTATGTTTTGTCTCCAGTTTTTTTTTGTTTTTGATAAACTTCAGCATTCTTGGAGTTGAAGTTGTGTTCTGTATTTGTAAAACTACAACATGTTTTGGCTGAAGTTTTTGTTCTGTATTTGTTATACTTCAGTATTCTTAGAGCTGATGTTTTGTTCTGTATTTGCTGAATTTCAACATTCTTACAGCTAAAATTTTGTTCAGTGTTTCTATTTTCTAAAATTGTTGTGTTGTTTCTATTTCTATACTAGAGGGTAACGAGGGAGGTTAAAAACCACACAACAGAAGAAAGATGTATGATCGCGAAAGAAGTTATTTAAGAGTTTCGACGGGATGAGCTATCTGTTATTGTGGGCGAGGTTGTGAAAAAAGTCAAGTTAGGCTTATTTACAGAGAAGTCTTTTTTCCTGCTAATGTTATTCTTTTATTCAGAATAATCATTGTTAGTAATTATTTATAGGAATATTTTGATAAGAAGTTTGAAGAATTGTTTGAGATTGTCGACAAGTCAAAAGGAAGAGATGATGGCGATACAGATTTTGAATTCATGAACTATCGATAATATGATAGGATGAACGACTCCTTCGAACCTCAATCTGATATTAATGTTGGTCATGATGGACTGTATAAAGTCGCAGATGAAAATGTAAGAGGTGAAGAAGCAGCTCTCGAAGGCCAAGTTCAAGTATTCGAGCAAGTTCAATGTGTTGAACGACAAGTTGAAGCAAAATATTCTAGTGTTGATAGACTGGGCAAAGTTGCTGGATATGATGAACAGTTATCAATTGAGAATGTAGTAAGCAAGAAAGATGCAAATGATGAAGTTGTCGGTACCGAAGAACATGTACCGAGTTGTGATTTGTGTACTCCTATTGTAAAAGGCAATGTGTTTGCGGATGCAGATAATGAAATGGTTGGTACTGAAGAACACACACCGAGTGGTGTGTGTACTCTTATTAGGAAAGGCAATGCATTTGTGGAAGTATTAGCTATTTTCTAAGAAATTTTAGGTGCAGAGACATAGGAAGTTGCCACTACAGGTATAAATATGTCACGACCCAAAATCCACCTAGCCGTGATGACATCTAACCCAACCTGTCAGGTAATCCCATTAACAACTATCTAATTTAAATGAGATTTATTAAGATAAGAAATAAAAATACAATTGCTTTTATACAAGAATTTCTCAAGGACTGATAGTACAAATCATGAGCTTCTAAGATTAGAATTTACAAAGTTGGTATGAAATAAATATATCATATATTCGAAATGTACATAAACAGATTTTTTTTTATAAATCTAAGGCTACCATGAACAAGAGACAGTTACAACCGGAATACATGTACGTCTTCAAATTCAGCTCTCGTCAATCACAGTAACATCAATATCCAATATCTACACGCAAGGTGTAGAAGTGTAGTATGAGTACAACCGACCCCATGTACTCAATAAGTAACAAACCTAACCTTAGATTGAAAGTAGTGACGAGCTGAAACACAGGTTGGGGTCCAACACCAATAGACAACAATATGTCATAACAGCATAATGGAAGTAATAAAAGAAGTAGCTCAAAAATAAAATGCTCAGCTCGTTCACAATTCCAGAAAAAATAGACATGCTTTTCAAGTATATCAGTAAAAACCCAAATCCTTTACCGAAATAATCAACAGGTAAATGTTTTATTTTCAAATGGCATGAGGGAAGTACATCTCTATGCCTACATATCAATGTGTATGTGAAGTCATGAATGACGCAATATCGTACAACATGAGGAAAATGCATCTCTATGTCTGTATGTCAAGTGTGCATGTCGAATGCAATGCAACTCAGTGATAACCATATACATACTCTTAGAGTATCAATTCACTCAGTCCTCCCAGTCACTCAGTCTTCATAGTCACTCAGTCCTCCCAATCACTCGACACTCATATTCAATAGGTACTTGCGCTCACTAGGGGTGTGTGCAGACTTCGGAAGGGCTTTTTTAGCCCAAGCGCTATAACAAGCCAATCATGGCATAAATCAATAAAACATGTTGTGGCGTGCAGCCCGATCCCATCATAATCCTCACCATCAGGCCCTCGATCTCACTCAATCACTCTTCTCTTCAGTCTCTCTGGCTCACAATGTCATGAATATCAGCCCAAAAATGATGATGTGATGTATCAATAAATGGTGATAGAGACTTAGATATGATATGCAAATGAATGTGTATGAGTGAGTATGTAATTGCAGTGTAAGCAAATAACTCAACAACAGAAATGACCTAAGTGGGTCCCAACAGGATAAACATATAGCCTAGATATGGTTTCTTATATGAATCACAACCCAATTACTCTAGCACGTAGAGATTTCATAGATATAAATAAGATTAGGTGACTACACAGCACCACAGAAATAACCGAGCCACAATTCACATGGTGCACGCCCACACACCCGTCACCTACCATGTGCGTCACCTCAACACCAAACACATAACACGTAATTCGGGATTTCATACCCTCGGCACCAAGTTTAGAAATGTTACTTACCTTGAACAAGCTAAATCCAAGGACGAGCAAAAGCAATTAATCCGACTTCCGAACAACTCGAAACTAGCCAAAAGCAACTAAAATACATCAATTAATGCCAAAGGAAACAAACCCAATCGACAAAGGTCGAATCTTTAATTAAAAGTCCAAAAGTCCAACCCGACCTGCACCTCGGAACTCGACGAAACTTATAAAATTTGACAACTCATTTAGTTGCGAGTCCAACCACACTAGTTTCACTCAAATTCGACTCCAAATCAACATTCAAAACTCAAAAACTCACTCTATGAAACTTTAGACTAAAATCCCCAATTTTCTCTTTAAAACTCATAATCCAATTACCAAATCCTTGTGATGAAATTTTCCTCTGAAATCACCTCAATCCGAGTCACACATCTCAAAATATTATAAAAGAACCCAAAACCTCGATATATAGCTTCTGCCCAGCATTTCCGCATATGCATTTAAGTTGTCGCATCTGCGACCTCCGCTTCTGCGGAAAAATGTCTCTTTTGTGAAGCCCTATGAAGACCAGCCCTTCTGCACTTATGGAGTTTTCCCGCTTATGCGCCACACGTCGCTTCTGCAGCTAGATTTGCGCTTCTGCCGATGTGCAGATGCGCCCTTAAGTCTGCTTCTGCGATCATTCTTGCCCAAGTCTCACCTCACTTCTGCGACCCCTTCATCGCTTCTACAACCATCGCACCTGCACGAACTAGCCGCAGGTGCGATCACACCAGGTCCAGTTCCTCTTCAACAATGCAACAAGAAACGGAATTATCTGAACCTCGTCTGAAACTCACCCAGGCCACCCGGAACCCCGTCCGAATATACCAACAAGCCCTGTAACATAGCACGGACCTACTCGAGGCCTCAAATCAGACATAACAATATCAAAGCGACGAATCACACCTCAAATCAAACATAATGAACTTTTAACTTTTAACTTCCAAAACTCGCGCCGAACAATATCAAATCAACTCGGAATGAACTCAAATTTTGCACACAAGTCCCAAATGACATAACTAGGTTATTCTAATTTTCGGAACTACAATACGAATCCGATATCATTAAAGTCAACTTTCGGTCAAACTTATGAACTTAATAAACCTTCACCTTTCGAACTTTTGCCAATGAAATGTCCAAATGTGAATTCGGGCATACGCCCAAGTCAAAAATTACCATTCGGACTTAACAGAACTATGAAAACTCTGTTCCGGGTCAAATTCATAAAAGTTAAACTTGGTCAACTCTTCCAACTTAAAGCTTCAATGATGAAATTCTTTATTCCAAATCGATTCTAAATAACCTGAAAACCAAAACCGATGATTCACGCAAGTCATAATACATCATACGGAGCTACTCGTTCCCTCAAACTACCAAGCGAAGTGCAAATATATATATATATATNTCAATTAATATGACTTAAAAACTCTATGATGATGCTACATTGCAAGAAGATAAAGTCGTTAAAATCCTTTCGCAGAATAATCCAAGGCTCCCCGATGATGCCGCACCATTGAATTAAGTTGGATCTGCTGAGATCGACAAAGGATGCATTCTAGCGATAGCGCAGTGGAAGGTAAACGTTAAGGTGTTCTATACATCACGAACTTATTACATTTGATCCAAGTTTTTATTTTTAGTTTAAAATTTTACATACTTTCTTTTCTTTTTTGTGCTTTTTGATGATTATTCAGAAAGACTCGATGTAGCCGAAAAAGAAATTGGTGAGCTCATTCGGCTATATGAAAAAGGAGAAATACATCTCTTCACATCTGTTAGCTCACAGACAGGTGTGAAGTGTCTTTGTAGTATTTTTAAAATTTAGTCAGTATTATTTAATATTTTTGCCTTTTTTTTTCATGAAGATATAGGCATATCTGAGGTAATGCAAGCGGATCTGTCAGTATGCAAACACCATCTGTGTCGCAACACTTAAACTAGGTAGTTATTTGCTGCAATTTGATTACAAGACACTTTTTGCCTAATGTATGTTTGTATCAGTTGTATTTATGTATATATTTTCCTTATTTTTTGAAGATCTCATCTATGCATCACAACATCTTCTAAATTCTAAGAGAAGGAAGGTGTTCGGTTGTCTTAATGTTTTGCATGACACAAGTGATATCCCCAACTTTAATTTATGGTCACTTTTGCTGGGTAGTACACAAGACTGGGTTAGAAGCTAATTTTGTTGATGTAATTATTGGTGAAGAAAGACAAGAAGATCATGAACAGTATGGAGTTGGAGAAGTATCTGTCCCTATGGCTGTGGATCTTTCCTCTATTACTGGATTGCAATAGTTAGTTGCGATTGAGTAGCAGGAATAACAAGCAAAAAGAAAACCAGATAAAGTAGAGAAAAAGATTCGTATGGAGAGTATTTGGTTGAATTCTCCTTACGTCATTCCTAAACAAAAGGCAAGGGGGTAAGATTGGAAAGAAGGAAAGACTACACGAAGGTGTCCCTTCCACTATGTCAATCAAGACAACAAATTGATGTAGAGATTTACACACTGGTTGAAGACGGATGTCGAGGAATATGATTCCAAGCCATTCAGATTAGCTGGAATCGATATTCCAAAGTCATTCTTTACCGAGCGTGTGGACCTAACTCTAATCTTGCGGATGAAGTAAGTTATTAAGCTTGTTTTTTAAATTGGTTTTCAACTGTATTTCCTAAAACTTCAACCTTATGTTTGTTTTAAAGTTTGTGTACTGTAATTTGGTAAACTTCAGAATTCTGCATGCTTAAGTATTTTAGTTCATTTGCTAAAACATCATACTAAAATATGCTGAAGTTTTGTCCTGCAGTCTGTAGTTTAGCAATGCATTTTTAGACTAAATATGCTGAAGTTGTTTAGTTCATTTGCTAAAACTTCAGCCTAAACATGCTGAAGTTTTTGTCTTGCAGTCTCTAGTTTTGTAATGAGTTTTTTTTTTCTAAACTTTAAATTAAACATGCTGAAGTTTTTTAGTTTATTTCCTAACACTTCATACTGAACATGCTTAAGTTTTTATCATGTAG